TTCTGCACATCCTCGGGCCCCAGCTTATCTCTAGGGATGAGAACCTGGTGCAGTGTGAAAGGAAGTATGGGCCTGGGTCTGAGGCTGGCCTTAACAGCTGACCTTTCTCTACATTACTTGTTGGTGTCCGTGGGCCCTAGATGCCCCCATCCTACTTTCTGTGCCCACCAGCCTCCTCCAGCTCTCTCTGAGCTGGCACACTCTCAGTACTCGCCAAAGCTCACCACCAACAACCACATTGTCACCTGCCTGGTAGGTGCTGTCAGCTCAACTGGGAAGATCTTGGCCTGGGAGGTCTTCTCACAACCTGGAGCCGTACACACAGCCTTGCTGTGTGCGCTTGGGACACGTCCGTCCAACCTGCTACAGTTCCCTTTTTGTTGCTGTGATAAAAACACTGTGGCCAAAAGCAACGTAGGGGAGGGAGAGCTTATTTCGTCTTGTACTTCCAGGGTGCAGTCCATTATTTGAGGGAAGTCAGGGCAGGAACTCAAGGCAGGAACCTGAAGGCAGGTCCTATTCCACACAGCATTACCTCTGATCAGGGAACTCACAACCAAGAAAACACAGCAGAAACCATGGAGGAACACTGCTTGTGGACTTGTTCTCCGGTCCATCCTTAGCTAGTGGGTTTTTTGTTTGTTTGTTTGTTTTGGTCTTTTTGAGACAGGGTCTCTCTGTAGCCCCAGCTGTCCTTGAACTCACTATGTGGACCAGGCTGGCCTTGAACTCACAGAGATCCGCCTGCCTCTGCCTCCCAAGTGCTGGGATTAAAGGCGTGCGCCCAGCAGCTAGATACAGCCCAGGACCACCTGCCCAGGGATTAATACCACCGGCAGTGGACTGCGCCCTCCTATAGTAATTAACAGTCAGGACAGTCCCTCATAGACACATCCACAGACCAACCTCGTAAAGACAGTTTCTCAATGGAGACTGTCCTTTCAGGTGACTCTAGGCTGTACAAAGTTGACAGTGCTGACAAGGACAGAGTCCTTTACCTCTCTGTCAGTCAGTGTACTATTTTTTAAATTTAACAGACCGTGTCCTATTATACAAACACTTTACACCTAAGAATTCTAAAACAAAGCTGTAACCTATTAAAAGATACACCCTTTGGAGGTGGAGGTATGAGGGTGTGTGGTGTGTGTGTGTGTGTGTGTGTGTGTGTGTGTGTGTGTGTTATGAATATATGTGCATGGCCTGATCTCTATCTAATATTACATAAATAAATGGAAAGTAACTTTTAACTGAAAATATTTTCATATAAAAATGTTAGAGTATAGCATATCTGTACAGAATGAAGTGTTCTGATGCCTGTTTCTGGGTGAAGAATCATAGTAATTGGAAAGTTACAAATTAGACCAACAGGAGAATATTGTAATGAGGACTCAGACTCCAGTGAGGGCCTGCCAGCCCTGGGGGATTTTGAAAGTGGTAAACAATTCCTGGTAAGATGCCAGTGGACCACATTCTTGCTCCTTGATTTATGTGGTAGTTGCATTCTAGAAAAAAAATACCCATTCCTCATTAAAATTGCCAACCAGAACAAAAAGCCTTAGTTTTTATGCAAAACACAGTGGGATTCAAAGAAAGCTGACTCCGAGTCAGTCCAGATGTCAGCAGGTCTTCCTGGGTTGGGCTTGCTCATGGATTCCTGAAAACCAGTGTCACTGGATCTCCAGATGAGGGAAAGTACTCCGCCAAGGACTGTGCAAATGGAGCTGCCCCAGATGGGTCCCCAGAGTGGCTGATGGCTCCAGGGGCTGCTCTGTTAGGTCCCTTGTCATTTATCTGTCCTCTGTTCACAGCACACAGGGCCCAGCTGCCTTGCTCTGTCACACTCCCCTGTGGCTCATGTACTTGATACGCATTTAAAACATACAACATGTTGCTAAAGGAATGGGGAAAATGTTCTGGGGGGCGGGGGGATACAGCTTTGGAAGGTATTTCTTTTCTTTCATGTACCTAAAAGAGAAAATTATTGTGAAGCTCTAGCCCCCGTCACCTGTGCTGTGACACTTGGAGGAAAGACTGTTTTAGTGCACAGTGTCCAACCATCCTTAAAGTACAGCATCACGACGCACACTGATGTCAACCTCAGGAGAACACCTCCTTTTATAGAAATTGTGCATGCTATTCAGCACTGCGTGCTGATGGCGATCAGGGCGGCTGATCACCTGGTTGGCTCTGCAGAAGCTGAAAGCCTCTAGCATGTTTCCCAGAGGCTGTGAGGCTGCCGCGTGAGGATGCCAGGTGCGCACTTGGCCAGTCCTCTGTGTTCTGCTGCAGGGTTTTAACATTTTAACATAAGGAAAGGTTTATTTTCGAGACACAGTGGCTTTCTGGCGTTGTTCTTCTGTGCTTTTGATAGTCCAGGCATATGCTCTGGAATCAGTATTCAGTACTTGAATTCATACTCCAAAATGACTCTGGTTTACACTCCTTCTGCATTGAGTTTTTTCTGTCAAAGACTGTGAAATTGGCTCCTTAAATCAGAAACAGAAACGTACAAGCTGCTCTCATTTGTTAGTTAATTTGTAGGCTGCTGAAAAAACAATCTTTACCTCATTTTTTATGAAAACATATTTTCAAAAAACCCCTCCATAAACCTGCCAAAGTGAGCCTCTCCTTCAGTGGCAGCTGGCCTCTTTCCCATCTGCCCCCTCTCCATGACCACCACCTGGAATGCTCACTAGAACAGAAGAATGCAAGCTTCTCTGGCCCAGCCCAGGGTCTGGAAGCTGGTACCTCTTTATGCCCCATTTCTTCTGCCTATAGCATCCTGTGGTCAAATTCAGACTAAGTGCCCCCCATGTCTCCCCTGCAGGAGACTTTGCCACCAGCTGCCAGTCACCAACTCTCCGGGAGCTCCCACTGGCCTTCCATTTCTTTTGCCTGAATCACACTATAATTCATCACATTCAATATGCTGTGACCTTTCTTACATTAAAAATAAGGCTTTTATCACAAAAGTAATGCACAACCCATTAGAAAAGTTAGAAAATATAAATAGAAGGCAACATTACTGAAAAGGCTCTAACCCCTCTGCCGGTTTTGATGCCTGCCCCGCTGTGTTCCTACACTTAACGCAGGCCTGTCTGCTTTCAGAAGCCTGAAACCTGCCATGGTTTGAATGTGTCCCCAAGAGTTCATGTGCTGGAAATTTCACCCTCAAATACATATGTTGATGGTGTTTGGAAGTAGCATGTTTGGGAGATGAATGGTTCTGAGAAGGACATGAGGATGAAGCCCATGATGGCATTGGTGGCTTTGGAAGAAGAGGAAGAGAGGCCCACAATGGCTTGCTTCCTCTGTACTGCATGAGGCCCTCCTCTGAGCCCTTTCCATGTTGAAAGAGTCCTCGGTGTGTCCCTGGCTCCCATGTCCATCTCCCTAAAACCTCAGTTACTCTACACTGTGATCAGAGTTGTGTGTGCTTTGACTTCGTCTTGGCATGGTCTGCATTCCTCCTCAGACCTGAGAGGTACCACAGAGCAAGATCATAAAATTTTTAAAGCACCCAGATGGAGGGCCTTGCAGACAGCACCTAGAGCACCTCAGGTCTGCAGAGGGAGCCCACAGCAATTTGTCTGTTAGGGGCTCTCGTCATCCAAGTTCTGCATCTCACACTGCAAAATCAGCTGCAGAGCTGACGGGCTTCAGCGGGCCTATGTCAAGCAAGGGGAGTTGCTACAGATGAGATCTGCCTGAATCACGCCCTTGAGGGCCTGGTGGGTGTTATGTTGCACCTCATCATGTGGTATTGAGTAGGAGATATGATGGCTGCCTAGCAGGCTGAGGTGCAGAGCTAGAGAAGAATGCAAATGAGCAGTGCTCCCCTCAGCTCCTGACTACAACATGGAAGAGCTAGAAGAGCAGCACAGGCCTGATATCCAAAGAGGAACATTGGTAGCCTCTGCCATCCCAACAGCTACATGGGTCTCTGTTACATAGACCAGAGCAGCTGAGTTCAGACAGTGTTGGGGCCGGAAGGGCAGCAGGAACCTGCTCAGGCCAGTTTTAGAATATGCCCACAAATCTAAATGCTGTACAATGAAAACCCCACTCTGCAGACTTTTAAAGGATGGAGTTTCTTACTTTTCTCCATAATCAGCATCTGGAACCCTATTCTCCAGCTGGAGTCACCCTCCATCGGTCCTCAGGGCTGTCAGCAGAAGTGCACAGGCTGGGCCATGTGCCATGCAGTGTTTTGGAGTTCTCTGCACCAAGCTGTGGCATGTTGTGTGTTTTTGCTTCTGTCATGTAAATTTGGCTTCTAGAGTCACCTTTGCTCAAGCTCATGAGTGACCAGGGAAGGAAATCAGGTCAGGCCCAAGGTTCTGTGAAATATCATGTTACTCCTGTGAGTTTTAGCGTAGTGTAGACGGAATCTCAAGTCCCTGGTGTGGAGACAGAACACTGGCCTGCTTCTTCATCTGGTTATGGAGTTTGCCTTTAGCCAGGTGAACAGCAGAGAGACCCTCTGTGGATGCTCTTCTGGTCTTCCCTGGAAGGAAGATGTGCAGAAACGTGCTCCATACACACAGGACTGACTGGTACCCATGTCATTTTGCTTCTGTGAGTATATGTGTTTCATATACAAGATGTGATAAACTTCCAGAATTACTTTCACTCCTTTATTAACATTTGCCACTGAAATAATGCAGGCATTTCTGTTCCCGCCCATTTCCTTTCAGGTTCCACTTCAATGTCCTTTTACTCCATGAAGAAGTAAGTCCAGCTGTTAACACTTTTTCCTCTACGTTCCTAACATAGCCTTACTTTCTCCCTGGTATTTTCTTTTACTTTTATAATGAGAAGAAAGCAATGGTTACATATTAATATCCTTTTAGGATTCGGAAGACATTACTGAGAAGTATCTGTCTTTATGTGTATGTGATTTTAAAAAAGACAAATAGTCAAAGAGCTATATGTTTTCAAGGAATTGCAGAACATTCTAGATAGCAGAATTGATGTGTGTTGCTTCTGCTCTTTGCTAGGTGCCTCAGGATGATTGGGGAGCGTACCCCACAGGTGGCAAGGAGGAGGAGATACCCTGCCGCAGGATGAGAAGTGGCAGCTACATCAAAGCCATGGGCGATGAGGAGAGTGGAGAGTCGGACTCCAGCCCCAAAACATCCCCAAAGGTGGCCATCCGGCCAGACCCCCTGCTGAAGTCCTTTGTACAAAGACCACTTGCAGACCACCAAACGTAAGAAAGACCTCTTCTCTCTCCTGCCCGTTCCTCTCTCTCCTCACAGCTACTTAGCCCTGGTGAGCTGTCTTCAATGAGAATTTGAAATGAAAATATGAGAAACCGTGCCATCAAGTTTCTCATCCTTAAAAAGATGATGACCAATCAGACCTTTGGTTATTTATTGCACAGTAATTATGGAAATCTGCTTGAGAAATTCCTATGTCTGATTAGTTTTAGAAAGGGGAATTGAGGTGGGATCTCATATATCCCAGGCTGGCCTCAAACTCATCATGTAGCCAAGGATAACTTTGTGCTCTTCATCACCCTGCCTCCATCTACGACTGATCTGAAGGCACTGTAATGCATCTGGCCTTACACATCACGCCAATCTTTGCATCAAGAAGGACATATTTCTATTCAGATGGTAGTGTGATGTGTGAATGTCTGTGGGGAAACATCTAAAAGGCTTTTCTGTTTACTCTTGCTTCATAAATACATGCATAGAAAACAGATTTTTATCAGGGCAGAGGAAGTAGCCTGGCTTTACAAACATAAAATCAATACACTTTGCATATTTGTCCAAAGGTACATTATTGATAAGTGTGGTTTCTGAAATACAAACATCTAAAACCACCCGGGAAATTAACTGTTGACATGAACTGTGAAAACACAGTTGCTCTCAGCAGTTTGCCTGACGTGCATGCCCAGCCTGCGAGCAGGTTTGGGTGTAAAAGCTAAGCACTGTTTGGGTCCTCCTTGCTTCCCATTTCAAGCTGCTTGTGCCATGTGAGTGAACAGCAACAGGTGACACCTGCTCTACACTCCGTGCGCTCTTTCTGTGTCGCTTTCTTTGATACACAGTGAGGTAGTGAAGCTCCAGCCCCAGGGGCCGGCTTCATGTGTCCCCACCCAGCTTGGTGCGCATGATAACAAGCCAACAGCAGCTTGATTTCTCCTAATAAGCTCAATAACTCATGAGTATCATCTTATAGGATGAAAACTTAAAATTGTGAATTGCAGCAGGATCTTACCTGTAGAGTCCATGCAGTCTGAGGATGCCCTCATGACACCACCACTGCCCCCTTCTTAGAGAACAGAGAGCTACTTAGTTCAATCAAAATTAGACTTATTTCTAATTTTACCTGCACATCCCACTGGGCTGTACACAGGGCTATCTGCCGAGCTCTTGGTGTGAATGTGGGTGCTCAGAAGTGCAGGGAGGTCAGGCTTAGAGAACATTTAACTGAAGACTTTATTTCCTAGTAAACCACAGAATAAACCATCCTTATTCTAGAGTTTATTTATACTCAAAGACTGTTTTAAATGAAAATGATAATTCTAAAATTGCACTCAAAATATAATTATAAATACACAGCCCTCACTTTCCTTTTTATAGCGAGGACTTCTCAGCAGGTGGACTGACAAATAGTTCCAAGATGCAGAATGATTCAAATGGTGGCGATGGGCATGAATATTTTTCATCTCTGTGAGATACTCTTCTCATATGCACAAGCAACTTGGTCCTCATTAGCAGTATTTAAGAAAGCACTGCAGTTATGAGGTAAACTTGGCGGTTAGCTGGGGAAGTGCCCTAACTCATATCATCAGTTCAGGACCCTTAGGTGTTTAAGTTCCTCCTGTGCCATTCTGCTATCCTATAAAATAAACTGTGTCAGCAGGCTGTCAAACTGCCTGGCCCAGGGCGGGAGAGATGACTCAGCTGTTAAGAGCACTGGTTGCTCTTGCAGAAGACCTGGGTTCAGTTCCCAGCGCCCAGATGGTGGCTAACAACTATCCATAACTCCAGTTCCAGGGAATCCAACGCCTTCTTCTGTCCTCTGTGTGCACTGCATGATATGGGTGCTCTCACATACATGCAGGCATAGCACTCGTACACATACAATATAAATAAAGATTTATAAGTTTAAAAACTGCCTGGCCCAAGCACTGGACAGTAACTGGACCTCTAGTTGGCAGTTGGCAGTTCTTCTTTTGAGTTATATAATAGATAATCCCTCTATGAAAGCTGCAAATATTCTACTTCTGAAGCTCAGTCTCTTGGAACAATGCCAGAATTATTCTGCTGAAAGCTGTCCTGTCCTCCATCCTCAGAGTCAGCCCCTCATCACTGAGCTACAATGCATCTGTATTATTCATAAAGGCACTCTCCCTTCTGCCATGCTCTCTAAGGCAGTACGTGGTCCTAGAAAGTCTCTAGCTCACAAAATAAAAATAAGACAAAAACCTACCTTGCCAAGCTGTCTTTATGCCTCCAAGCACTAGCTTCTCAGAAGCTGGGTCCACTGATCAGGTTGTCTGCCTGAGGCCAAGTGGAGCCCTGTCCATCTATACCAGACCCTGCTGTGTGCAGAGTACCTAGCACAGTTATTACCAATTAATTGAAATGCAAATTCCAAGTTACTACTGAATTCAATTTACTGCACTTTTAAATTAGCTCATGTATTAATGTTGAGATACTTGAATTACCAATTTAAGTCGGTTATTATGAGAAGTAGATCTAATAATTTAATTTGAGGATTTTGCTTTGTTTTATGCTTAGTTGAATTAAAAATAAGAAGTTTAATAATGTTGAACCTGACTGAGTCATTCAGTAGTGAGGGCAGCCCTTTAAATTCATAGAGGAAGGGAAACATTGCAAGAACCATTCTGTCATATGCATTCTGAAGGATTACACAGGCCCCAACGTCTTCACACAGAAGTCCATGTGTACATGGATGCACATTAGTACTGTGACGGCTGGTCTTAATGGTCAGTTTGAATGAAGCCTCAGGGTGCTTACAGAGAGGACTGGCCTGTGTGACAGTGACAGGGAGGAATACCTACCCTCAGGGTGGGTGGGTGGCAACTTCCAATGAGCAGCTCCGATGAAAATGGAATCTGAGGAAAGCGGCATAAGGGGCTGCCTTCCCTTCTTTTCTGAGTCTGTCCATCACTGCTGCTGTGACCCTCCACAGGAGTCAGATTCCAACCTCTTCAGCCTCCCATTATAGACTCAATGCCAGTGACTCTCCAAAAAACCTCCTGGCTTTCAGCATTGGGTTGAGGCTGCTGAGCTTCCTGGATTAGGAGCCCAGTTCTCCAGTGTAGAGACAGCCACTGTTGATTACCCAGTCCCATGTAAAACAAATTTCCTTTTATAATATGTATACATATGTTCTTTTGGTTTTGCTACTCTAGAGAACCCAGCCTAATACAGATAGATGATAGATAGATAGATAGATAGATAGATAGATAGATAGATACATACATACATACATACATACATACATACATACATACATAGGTAAATACATAGATAGCTTATAGATACATACATACATACATACATACATACATAGGTAAATACATAGATAGATGATAGATAGATGATAGATACATACATATATATGAACATTCCATAATCTTGGAATAGAGAATAAATATTTAAATGTTTATACTTGAGAAGCTGTAAGATATTGACCATTTGAATTCATAAAATTAAAAACATTTTCATGGCCAAAGCAAACAAAGAAACCAGAAAACCAAAAGTATCATCAACAGACTAAAACAACAACAGAAGCCTGGGAAGGAGATTCAGTATAAGAAATGTATGTTCTTACTCTTTATTTGTAAGAATTTCTTGTGACTAGAAAAGGAAAAATGATGCAAAAATTAATAGTTAAATCATAGTTAAAATTAATAAAGTCTTTCTGAGGGGTACAGAGTTTGGAACTGAACATCCAAAACATATTCTGAAAGACTTTCTGAAAAGACTGCAAAAATGTGAAAGAATAGAGCAGTGTTCTCTGTCTGTCTCACCATAAGAGGCCGTGCAATACCTGAGTGCCCACCCTGAGGAGGCAGAGCTGGATAAGTGTGCCACTGAAAGCAAGCCTTAGCAAGGCAGCTCGCAGAATGGGGATGGACCAGCTGGCTCCAGGAATGGCACACTACTAGCTCAGTTAGCTCCTGGCCAGATTCTCCAACAGTGATCACCAAGTGCCTTGCAGGATGCACGCGCATTCCAAGCATGAACTCCACTCATCTCCACTTTCACGGCTCCACTCACAGCAGCCATAAACTTCCATTAAATTGTAGGAGAAAAGATGCCTGGAAGATGGCTTAGTGGGCAAAGTACCTGCACAACAATTTCAAAGACCTGAGTTTGGATCCCCAGCACCCACATAAAAGCCAGGCACAGCAGTTAGGCACCTGGCACCCCAGCACTGGGGGTTGGAGGAGACAGCCAGATCCTAGAGCTCACTGGCTGGCCAGCCAGCCTACCTGAAATAGCTCTAGGTTCAGTGAGAGACCCCACCTCAAAAAGTAAGGTGGAGAGTGAAAGAAGCCATACCTGACATTCAAATACATGCACATTCAAATGAATACACACACACACACACACACACACACACACACACACACACACACAAATCTTAGGAGAGAATCTTAAGAAAGATGTATACTAAATACAAAACAAAACTTCATGTATTTACTCACAACACATTCTAATTACCACAGCTTAAGAGATAAAATATAAGAATGTAAAGCGCCACTCAGTGGGAAGGGAGGTAGAATGTACACAATAAGGGAGTAGAAGGGCGGATGCTGGGGTAGAAGGGTACAGGAGGGTCAGCGGGCAGGAGATGGAGGAGGAGCAGGGAGGGGGCAGGTCAGCCAAAACTAAGACGTATGAAAATGCCATAAAAGAAGCCTGTTATTTTGTATGCTAATCAAAAAATAAAATTAAATAAATAAATGGAATGAAGCTTCTACTCAAAAGCAGAAGATTCAGAGATGGCACAGGCTCCCACAAGCTGTCTTTTAGGAAAAAACATTTTATAATAACTGTTGTGTGTGATGCAGTGTATGAGAGAAAAGGGAACAATGTGCACAGCCTGAGAAGCCTGTAAGAAAGATCTGTGAGGAAAAAAACCTTCAAATCCAAATATCAGAAATGAAGACTTGATATGTTCACCAATAGAGTCAATGTAATTGAGTAACGTGTCAGTGAA